AAGGCAATGCAAAACGTAACATACTCCACATAATAACCCTAAAAGACCGGCATGTAAAGGAAAAATAGAATTAAAAAGGAATTGGATATAAAATCAGACACACGAAGTTTTCACTAGCACGCAGCGCTTTAAAAAGCTCACCTCTGTTGCGCTACCCTCTCCCCCATCCTCGCAACAGCTGATGAGTAAAATACCAAAGTCAAGCAACAGATCAAACTTAAGGTCAGGAACTAAACTGTGTTCATTTCAAAAGTAATGACATAGGTGCCATCTAGTGGCCTTAGAAAAACGTCCAGCTTAAAATGCGTATACGCATCACTTGAATGCAATCTCTAGCGATGCTTGGATGGGACGCCCGGCTGTAAGAGACGTTCTTAGGCAATGCGTATATGGGACGCCCGACCTGAAAGGTTAAACTGAATCTTCAGAAAAATATAAATAATGTCCATATTTTTCTGCGGATCATCAAACGTTTTCACGGACCACCGGTTGGCGACCGCTGATTTTAAACATTTGCCATATTAAAGATACCCCACAATACAAGAGGTTATTACTAGTATCAATATGTAAGATGTTCTATTTCTGACCTTCTGAGTTAGTGAAAGCGTCAGGTCGAACGTGTTATTAAATAGCTTTTATTTCAAAATTTTACTTTGAGTTACGATCGTTTTAGGCAGAAAATAGATAGAACGAAAAGCCGGATGGCAGTCTCTAGGAGTGCTTAAGGTGATTATATAATTTAAAGTAATAGTGTACATATGCTCTAGACGTTTGCTTTTAGAGACTCAGACATTAATTTTGGAAGAAAGCTAATTCTCTGAGAGGAGTTAGAAAGAAAAGCAGACCGTAATCCTTCTTCTTGTATAAAGAATGCTTTCGTCGAATCATATCCGAGCTACTTGTTTCAATACTGAGGTTCTGCAAGTACAGAAGAATACAGAAGAATTTATTACAGTTTTGCTTAAAAATAAGATGCAGACTTTTGTGAATGCCATTTCAATGCAATGAGTTCATTCGATGTTCATTTCAATACACTGACTGACGAAAGTTTTATAAAACACAATCTAACTTTTCAAACGGCTGCCGTAAATCAGGCAGACTAATCAGTAAAATACTACTCTTTGATTGGCTAAGGCATATTTTGTTTCCAACAGTGTATGCGTTATCTTAGACTACACATCACCAAAACCAATAGCTAGCTAATTCCTGAATTTGTTTTCAAACATCCTGAATTTCAGTTGGTAAGATACATAGTAAAATGATTTAAGTCAACACATTCGTTGTCCAAGTTCTTCACAAATTTTGCATGCGCCGGTATGGAATTTGTAGTCTCATTCTTTGAGTAGCACACATGAAGTGGAGATTCCAATTAGAACTAAGCGAATTATAATTATGTCTAGATTGAAAACAGAAACATGTAGGATTTCCCTTAGTTTTAATAACCAATTATGTTAATTTTGGCATCTTTTCTGAATTTATTTCCTCTCGCATTTCCTCCCGAGGATAGATGAAATAAGAAGTTTAGAGAGAGCATCACTTCCCCCGCTAGTGTAGCACACGTTGTCTATATTTTCTTCCAGCTATTAATATTGTACAGAAATTAGGTATCTTTTTTAAATGCTTAAGTTTCCTTCTTATTTTTTCAGCAAAAATTTATTAGTTCGTTCAAATATATGAAATATAGAAGTAAAAGAATCCCTCTTTCCTTCTTGCGCTCTTTGATCTTTATACGAACACGCACTTATAACTTTGAAAACCTGAAAACGCCTGTGTGCGATGTTATCGTCATGCGATGATTTGCAGGTACTTTATTTTTCACCACGATATTTTTAAACTGCGAAGTTTTAAAACCGCTTTATTTTCGACTGCGATATTTTGTACCAGGATATTTTAGAACTACGATGTTTTCTCTTTGCGATGTTTTCTCCCACGATGGTTTGTACCACGAAGTTTTCTCCTAGCGTTGTTTTCTCCGCGACGTTTTCGGAGGACTCCGTAGGTTGCTAAGTCAGCCTGCTAGCTTGAATTAAATTGTGTAGTGAAGCACTACTACTTACCTTTTTGAATTTAAATTGTTAAATTATCCTTAAGTTCCAACGCAAGTAGTCGGTGTTATTAAAGAGTTTGAGATATAAAAGGGTTGCTTAAACTATTTGTGTAGTTACTCTTCATTCTTGTACGAGAAGTCACCAGGTTTGCCATTAAGATCGAGTCACTTGCATGACATCCAAACGAATAAGATTTTATAAGCGTAAGAAGGGTGCAAAAGACCTTTTAATTAAGAATTCAAATAGTTGAATAGAAGGCATTCCTACTACTTGCAAAGTCGTCCCAGCATTAATGGTGTAAATTCAAAAATAAGGAATTCAAATTTAAACTAAGTTAGCCAAAAAGCTATACAGAAATGTTTAATTCGCGAGTTGGCTCAAACCTACACCGGCGCGACAGAACTTTTGGAAAGATAAAAGCAACGCCGTAGACAGAACGTTATCGTAGAATTTCCGCCAGTAATTTAGCCTTCAGCAGGCGAAATACGCTCAATTTAAAAACAATTTAAAACAATTTAATAATAAACAATTTAAAACCTCACTTTAAATACTATCTTTCTCTACTTAATTTAAAGACATGCGAGGTTAAATTTACATTCTGGCAAGAAAACGGAAAGGGAGAAATGACAATACAAATTCTCAGCATAAATAAGTGATTGATTTAAATAAATACCTTACAAATTTATTATTTTTAAGTAATTAAATCAATGAATATCTTCATAATTAGAATATTTATTCTGAAGGAGAATATAAAATGTTGCATTCTTTCCATCCACATTGTTAACACACACAAAGGCAGTAAAATCTAGCAGCATTCCAGAAAAATAGTAGCTTCTTTTCTCGAATACAGTAACAACATGCATATATTTCACGACTTAAATTAAATCATGCCCACTTTTCTGCCTTTGCTTTTACTCCTAAATCTCCTGAAATTAACTATTTAATAAATATTACTTAGAATGCTTTATCTTAGATATCGAGAAAGAGTTATATTTCAGTCAGAACCAGACTCCGTTAATTCTCGGATTTTTGATGCAATTATAACTCCAGTCGGAGTTCTAAATAAGATAAACTTCGATATTTTAAAATCATTATTCAACTATTCGTCATCAATTTAAATTATTAGCCCAAAGAGCGTTAGCCCAGAAGGGTTATTAATTTCGGTTTGGCATTTTGCGTTGGTTCACTAAAAACGTTGGTTCACTTTTCAAATTGTTACCACCAAATATTAGAGCCCTGTGTTATATATATTTAAAGAAATTAAATAATGAAGAATCTGCATAAATGTATGTATGTTTTTCGCATTGTGATAAAACAACGGTACCTAGAGCCATCCAATTTTGAATTACGTAATCTTCCACTGAATATGGGTATCGGGAAGCCCGAATTTAAAATTTGTTTAATTATCTATTTCATAATTTGTAAAACTTTAACGAATTTTTGATTAACAAACTTAACGATTTCAAAGCGAGCGACACTGTACGGAAAAAGAAAAAAAAAAAAAAAAAACATTTTTATCTCCAGTACGCCAGACTGCAGACTGTATATCGGAAGTTCTAAAGATATTCTCATTTTAAAATTACTTTCCGATATTGCTATTGAACTGAATTTTATGGTTTAAGTGCAAAGAACATGATATTTAATAAATAAAGGTAACACACAAAAACGGTGAAAAAACGCCAGCTGTAAACAGTAAAAAAACGCCAGCAGCCTTTGGGCGTGATGTAAAATCTGAGTTTTCCGGTTTTTATTTATTTATTTTTAATACATTTTTATTAAGTTCATTCTCAAATCAATATTTGATTTTCTCTATCGTTTTAGAACCTTATCTGCGTGATATATTCATATTCTGAGGATCTTCTCACTATTTTTCCGCTCGAATAATTCATTTTTGTTGCCAATTCTGCACGATATTTCGCTTCTGAATAAACCCGATGAATGATGAAACGGATCTAAACAATTTCTAAACAAAGAAACTATCACATTATACATCACATCAAAAGATTTAGATACGGAATGGAGCTGGCTGAAAGGAAAGAAACAGCGTCGTGTTTGAGTATAAAAGCAAAATAAGATCATTGCTTGAACAACATTACGTTCAATTTCCGAACGGAAAAGAATAAAAATATCTTCTAAACAATTTCCTCGTTTGATTTGCAATTTTGATTTATTAAGCTTTAAACGAGATGCTCGCGATATTTGCACTAATCCTTGCTACCACGATATGCGTTCATGCTGCAAATTTTGCTGAAGATGCAGATGCCACATGCAAATGCTTTAATCACATACTTTGCGAAATGGGTAAGAATTTTTTACTAACAATGAAGATATTCAGTTATTTAATATCTTAATTTTTAACTACTTTATATATTCACTGCGTTATTGTATTGTTAACGGAAATATGCTGTGGGCCTTACCGTTCGATTGCATTTAAATATAATGACTGTATTTTTATTTTATTTTATTATTACATGGTTTATTCAGGTTTGTTTCCGTGTCTGCCTAGTTCAGGTGTTGAAATTAACATTTGACGAACCGATTTCTGGAAATTTTCTACACGTACTTATTCGCAGTGACACTACAGAATTCCACGAGGATATTTTCAAAATTCGGAGAAATTTCTTTATACTTCCTTGGGCGAAATAAAGTAAGTACTGTAATTGCGAAAAAATTCCAGGTACCATATTTCAACAAAAATATCGATTTTGACCATTCACGATTCCGCATGGACGATTTTTCTTTGTATGACGTCTGTATAACGGATTGCAAAATGGATTTAAAAGGGATTTTTTTCATAACGTCTATATGTATGTATATCTCCTAAATCAGAAACGATTAGCAGTAGAACGTTGCAATTTTGTGTATGGGGCTGCTATAACATCTAGTTATTCACCTCCCTTTCTCACTGCAATCGGCAAAACCAAACATTTTATATTTATGTACCAACGCTCTTACCCAGCTTAACCCTTTGCGGCACACTGTGTCCGGTTTGGACACACCTAAAAATTTCCTTCTGCACGCACAGAAAACATTTAATGAAAAAGGATTTATAAGTTACTATAGGTTATTCTGAACCTTCTTTATTTATAGTAGATGGTAGCTCAACACAAACCAGTCCATATATTTTAGCCATGTTTTTTAAGACCCTCATTTTTCAAAGAAATCTTCCAGATTGTTTTTAGGGTATAAAAGGAATTGTTTGAAAAGAAATTTCTAAGTTATTTTTTGGCTGTATGCTAATTTCCTTATTCTATATTAGTTTTAAATTTTTACCTTGAAATCTTGTCTAAAATCAAACGGCGAACCCTAGATGTGCCCAGACCGTGCTCACCGATAATCTAGGACAACTGAGAGTCTATATTCTTTATTTCTCTGCATCTCATCGGTCATTTCATTGACAACAATGCTCGTTTCAGCACTCTTTTCGAAGCTCTATTCAATCTGTATGCCCTCTTCGAGCACACCCACAGGGTCCTTTTCACTCTGGGAAGAATTGTGAAAAGGTCTAAACGCTAGCGTAATTTACATAATTGCAAATGCTTTGTTTTTCTTTTCCTTTTTAGCCCCAAAGGGAAGTAAGTTACGAATGGAATTTTAATCTCGAAACGGCAATTTGTGTTGAATCACTTAAATGCGTTGCATAACTTTTTAAATTGTTGCCGCGAAATATTTTCCCCCTGTATTATATTTAAGAAAAAAAATTAAATAATGAAGAATCTAACAAACTCAATGATTTCAAAGCGAGCAGTGGCAACACTGTGTAGAATAAAACATTTAACAAAGCATTTTTATTTCCATTGCGCGAGACTGTCTATCGGAAATTTTAAAGATATGCTGTTTTTAAATATTTTGTGATTTTGTTCTTGAATCGAATTTTATGTGGCGTAAGCGCCAAGAACGTGCTATTTAATAATTAAAGTAAACACACAGAACGTTAATGAAACGACAAAAAATGTTTTATAAAGTTTTGTAGTAAGAAAACTGAACATTGATATGGTGATTAAAATATTAATATGATGATTAAAATAATTTATTGCTACAATATTAAAAGGAATACAGCATGCAAAGTTCCCCCCCCCCATTGTTACGTTTCTTCATTTCTATGGACCAAATACAAATAAATAAATAAAAATAAAATACACAAAATTTTAAATCATTCTAATTAGCCATATGTACTAAAAACAGAAATAAAACTTTTAACTTGTGGAATCTTCTTGGTCATATGTTGTAGAGACATTAGGTTTTTTTTGGAGGGGGAGCATGAAAGATGAAATATGAGCAACGCCTTCACCGGAAATCGAATTGCTGACCTTTGGAATACACGCCCAGCGTACTGGCCACTACACTACGAAGGCATGCTAAGGCAGGAGAAATACCATATATACTCCCCCTTTTAAAGGGTGACTGGGGCTTTTTAGAGGACCCAATCGCCAAATCCTGGGTGTGGAGAATCACCATTCACCACCCTTTTAGTTGGGGCGCCACTGTAGAGACATTAGGTATTTTTTTGGAAGCATGAAAGATGAAAAATGAGCGACGCCTTCGCCGGGAATCGAACCACGGACCTCTGGAATACACGCACAGCGTGCTGACCTCTACACTACGAAGGCATGCTAAGAAGGCGGGAGAAATATTTTATAATGTGAGTAAAAATAAAACTGATAAAACTGTATTGGAGTATTAACAGAAATTTCAGCCACAATGGAAACGATGGAGTAAAAATGACATATTTCAGGATAATTATTCTTAATTCACTTAAATTTTGCTTTCATAATTTTAATTTAAATTCCATCATTGTTGGCAGTGCTATGATTTTATTTTTAATCACATACAAATAAGAATATCGGGATGCCTAAAACATTTATTTGCTACTTTTTAGCGAATTAAATTAAAGCAGTGGAGCTTAAAAATGTTTCTCTTTCTATACTGTAATTAAAAAACGTTTTTTCTATTAATGTCTATGAAGTAGTTTTTATGCTGCCTGTGACGCATTTTCAGCTCAGAGCTTTTACTTAGATTTAATATTTTTTAATTTTCGTAAGAAACTTTTCTTTATATGCTTAAAGATTAGGTAAAGAATCTTCGTCTAAAATGTTCTTTATTATTTATTCAACTTTTGCTCATGATTCTCCATTTGCTAATTCAAAAGGACATTTAATATGTCAGACAGAAATCAGGCAATTAAATTGTTCGGCTAATCTTTAGAATATGGTAACAGGTAGTTTGACGACATTTTGGTAAGGCGATAAAGGTTACTAGCTAGGACTTTAGCAATAATCTGAGAAGTACACAATTCGAATCACACATTATTTTGTCTCAGAGAAATGAGAGATCATGAGGCATGTAATGTGACATCTTCCGGAAAATTCCGATCGTGATTTTAGCTAATAAACACTTAGAAACAATTTCGCTGCTAAAGTGCAGAATCGCCCACTTATTTGTTTGGCGCTTTTTACAAGAGTAAGAAGAATTGGATTTTTGTCAATTTTTAATTTACTTTAATTCACTTTTTAAGTGAAAATAGTTCGATGTGCACATAGATAAAGTCAAGAGTGTGCGCAATACCATTTTTGTGCAATTCTGTGAGGTTTTTTTTAAGTGAAAATAGGTCGACGTGTACATAGATACCGTGTATGTGCAATTCTTAAAAACCCGGCAAGCAGTTTGCGATTCTTCATGTTCTCCCAATTTTGCACCTAATCTTCGTCCTGATTAAGCATTTTTGTTCCATAAAAGTTCTAGTATAAGCGTAATTCGGCTAGCATATTGTTGGAGAAATGTTGAGTTAAAAAAAAAAAAAAATGCCTTTACTTCGTGAAAACAAAATGGCGTCCAAAATAAAACTAGCAGGTTGCTTTAGCAGGGTTGGTAGCCAAATTTTCCCAAAAAAATCGCCAAGTTACCATAATGTAAAGATTCGCCAAATTTTTACACTTCGAACGTTAGCATTTCACAAAGCACTTTTTCTTCCAATTCAAGTTCATTATATTACAATGCTTTTCCAAAATGAAAAAAGAAATTCATAACCCGCTATATGCCGAGATTAGCATGAAAAATTCATGCTGTGTTCCGGCTGTCAGATTTTCCAGCTGTCAGATTAGAAGGGCGCTTCAAGTAGAATGAGCGCAGCACAGTAAGTCCAAGAGGACAGGATAGAAGAAGATGGAGAAGAGGGGAAAAAAACTGTTCGGCATTATAGCGGAAGTTGGACTTAGTTGATAATATTCAGCCCTTGATTAGATAATTAACTTGTTGCAATCGTTTGCGAGATTGAGGCCTTGCGAACCAGAGATGTGCATTTGAGTATTTGCCATCAAAGTTGAGCTTGAATTAACACTCGAACGCCAAGTTTTCGGTTTTATCCGTTTTGTGCACTCTCTGTGAGTTTTTCACTAAACTGATTGCGCAAATTTTGGTCTCGTTCATTCGCAACTGTTGTAAATTCAAATTAGAATTCTAATATTTCTCTTTTCTGCCTCTCATAGGGGAATGTGACTCTATGTTCTATGATAATTATTACTCATCTGGATGAGTACTGTCACCCCTATTAATTTGTAAAAATAATTTAGAGTCACCCTGTATATGTATATATAATTTAATAGAAAAGAATAAAGTTCTAAAAAAGATTAATTAAAATAAATAACTATGATACATATATAATATGGTAAAGTATTTATATGTGCGTTAAATTACTTTATGAAAACTGCGTGAATAAGCTAGACTTCATTCTTGGACCACAACAAAAAGGTATAACTTAGCGTTACTAATGCAGTATGGTGGGTTTAATTTGAAAAACAGTTGATCAGTTGCTTAACTACACTCATGTCCATAAATTAAGGATAATTCGGACTCACGCGGAAATCGAACTCTAAAATAAATATATCACCTGTAAAATCACTACGCACATCTTCAAGAATTATATGCAAATTTCAGGAAGTAACCAGATGACACCGATGGTACGTCACAATGACGAGAGTGTCAGAGAGTGATATATAAGGAATACTGGAAAAGAAGTAAAATTGTCGCAGGCGCTTTATAAGCATTTCAGTGCAATAACCGAATAGTTATGGCACAAAGGACGCATTTGGATGATTTTTTTAGTGGTAGAATTATCGGCCGTCTGGAATGTAGGCGTACCCAACTGGACGTATCAGACGAACTTGGAATTGCCCAGAGTGTCATCTCCAGGCTTTGGCAACGATTCCAGGATGATGGTAATGTGAGTAGACGTTACAGCACAGGTCGCCCCAGAGTTACAACGCCGAATGAGGATTGGTATTTGGCAGTTACTGCCAAAAGAAACAGGCGGAGCACAGCCTCAGAACTGTCTCGTCAGCTCTCTTGAGCCACTGGTACGACAATTTCGAGGCAGATAGTGTACAGACGCTTAGGGCAGATTGGTCTATATGCTCGTAGACCTGTCAGATGCGTTCCACTTACTACAACTCACTGTCGCCTGGAGTAGAGAGCATGCATTATGGACACCGAAGCAGTGGGCTTGTATGATGTTTTCCGACGAGTCCAGGTTTAGCTTGCAGTCTGATTCTCGCCGGACTTTCATATGGAGAGCTCCAGGTACCCGTTACCACCAAGGAAACATCATTGAGCGACACCGTTACGATGGTGCAGGAGTGCTCGTTTGGGGTGGAATTATTCTGGGTTCCAGAACTGACCTGCATGTTCAAATTGGAACCATGACAAGCCAAATCTATCGGGACGTCATCTGAAACAACATGTATGTTTGTTTTCGGGGCGCCCATGGGCGCACAATTTGTGTTTATGGATGACAACGCCCGCCCTCACCGTGCAAACATCGTAAGCGAATGCCTTCAATCGGAGGATATCACCCGTATGAACTGGCCAGCGTTCTCACCAGACTTGAATCCAGTAGAGCACGTGTGGGACATGTTTGGCCGACGAGTTGCAGTCCGTCAACCCGTCCTACATGCCTACCGGAACTTCGGAGAGCATTGCTTTTTGAGTGGTGTAATATCCCTATAAGGTCAGATCGATAATTTGATACTCAGCATGCCTAGGCGTTGTACGAACTGTATTGCATCGTCTGGGAGACATACAATGTATTAACAATCATACCAACCATACAATACTGGTTTTTGTTAATAGGTTTTTTTGTAATTTGCTCCAGGGAGAAAAAATCGCTAATTTTTTTAATAATATCAAACATATAGCATCCTTTTTTGCTCTTTACCTTTTGTTTAATAAATAAGCTTTACAAATAAGTCAAATTTGTTTTGCTTCTAACTCTTACTTTGCCTGATTTTGCATTATCCTTAATTTATGGACATGAGTGTAAATAAGGTTATTCAAAAAATAAAGATGTATCAATATATAAAATTTTGGGGCTAATTATATTCAGCCACAAAAATACAAAAGAAAAAGATTTTAATGATTTTTTCACTGTGTTTTAATTTGGTGTTTTTCTTTTTTAGAAAAATATACCCTGGCCCTGGAGATTGTAGACGAAGAAGAAGAATTTGTAAGTTTGTAAAAAAATTTCTTTAATTTGTCATGTTTCATTTCCTTTTCATACTAAAATTCTTTTCATTTTTACTTCTTCTGTTCTTTATTTTTAACTTTCAGAATGGTAAAGCAAAAACAATTTATATACAAGATGGCAAATTTCGTTTTCGGTTTTGCATCATGTATTATTTAAAGAGACAATATTTCTATTCTCTAAAAGAAATTTTAAGTATTGAACGATTTAATAAATCTAAATCTGTTATTGGCAGATAGGGAGGAGTTTTAGGTTAGCCTTCTATAACATAAAGCTAAGTGTCGGATTAGAGGATAGTCAAGATAAGCAGCTGACAGAGTTATTCGGCTTACTTGGCTTGAAACTGATATATGCCAACAAATTCATTTTTATCAAAATATTATTTAAATGAAGTACAGTAATATAATCACGTTTCGCGACGGCTATTTTGATAACATTAAGCAATGAGGAAAAAAATTCCCTCAAAATGGCAATGGAATTTGACCAATTCGGTATAAAAAACACCGGGAACATATAAATTTGCGTTTCAATGATATTTTAACTAGGAAAATTCAAATGTGTGCTCGTAAACTTACCATACATATTCTGAAAATTATTTGACCGATGCTATAATCCTAATCTAAATATTCGGAAAGCAACCTTCATTTAAAGAGTACTATATGGAAGTGTAAAATTCTAAATTAAACAAAAAAAGCAACCTTAGTTTGTGGTAAATGTTTCCAGAGAATTTTGTTTTTCAAAAGAAAAAATTCCACAGAATTTTTTTTCTCTCGAAGATTTGTATCTCATCGCTCTCAACACTTAGAGTTGTTCAAAATATATGTCAAATTGAGGTTTCTTTTTTGCCCGATTTTAAATAGTTGACTGAAATCGAGATCAAGCTGTTTGAATGCTTAACCCGCCGTCACTTGGCGACATTTCTCTGTCACTTGGCAACTTTTTATTATCTACTTTGACCTTATTTAAAAATTGTTTCTTTTACTTGGTCATATTACTTTAGTATAAAAAATTATTCTATAATAGTTTGATAATATTAATCGAATAGTTGATCACAACAAGCCATATATATATATATATTTGTATATAAATGGGAGGCAGTTCGATAAATCGGTAACAATATCGGAATGATAACATTCACGGTGTCTATTGCAAAATCAAATGATAAACACAAAATCATAAAGATACACTAAAATCGTTCGCTATACATCTGTAGAATGTTATCAAACCCCGCTGTAGCTTATCCCTACTTTTCACGATTAAGACAGTATTTAGTTTGAAAATTTTATTTTGTTAAGACTGCTTCAGACAGCTTATAAGCACAAGCAGTTGCTAGTTGAAGCCATGTGGGCAGTTTAGACAAAGATGCATATTCCACCAACGTCAACAGGCAGTGGAATCTGTCTAAAACTTTAAATGCTGAGAGTCCGTATGCAAGGAGGTCTATTCTAACCTCCTTGGTATGCCCTGTAGTTTAAGAACGTCACGAATTGTTTCATGACGGTCATGGCAACCACATTCATATTGAAAATAATTTTCTGAAGGATGGATTGATAAGCGACGAATTGATTTTTGAATAAGATCTTTAGTATGCTAGTCTCACAACTAAGTGAAGCACAGAATTTTGAATACTTCACAGTCAGTAGTTTCTTTAGCCTTGCAGCTTTTATATGCATCATATTTCTACTAAGTGCGACTGAGTTTTATCAGTTAGTCCATCTGGCTTTGTCATATAATCATTAGTAATTTAACAAAAATGACATAAATCTAAGCGTTGCAAGCTTCTTAAATATTTTATTCTTCTCCTTTAAAACTAACATTACAGTATGTGTGTTAGTATTACAACAGAAAACTTTTTTGCTAAAATGCATTCACATTTTATTATTCACATAATAAATTAAAGAATTACTAGTTCTGTTATAAGGTATTTCTCCCGCGTTCTTAGCATGCCTTCGTGGTGTAATGGTCAGCATGCTCGGAGTGTATTTGAGAAGACCCAGCAAGAGCACTGCTCATTTCTCACGTCTCCAGCATTTAAAAAATATTAATACAGTGACGCCCGAACTATAAAAGGTGGTGAATGATGATTCTCCACCACCAGGATATGGCAGTTGGTTTTCCTAATCACTAGTCGCCCGCCTTCTTAGCATGCCTTCGTGGTGTAATGATCAGCACGCTCGGCGTGTATCTGAGAGGTCTGATGTTTGAGTCCTGGTGAGAGCATGGCTCATTCTGCACGTCTTCTGCTTCGAAATAACCTAATGTCTTTACAGTGTAAATGCCAGAATATAAAAGATCCACAGAAATCCCGTCTCATCGTTGACACTTATCTTTCACCGTCTGTTCTCTTCAACATATTTTAACAGGTTGTTTATTCTTATATTTATTGCCAGTTACTGTTTCTCTAAAAATCTTTTTCTTTTTAAACTTTTTCTATCAACAATCAAGAACTTTTCCTATCAACAATTTAAAAGCTGTTTAAGTGCGGCTAAGCCTAATTTTTCTTACCATAGCAGCCATATTTGTTTACTTAGAAACTTAGCAGAATAGTGAATTAATTCTTTCTGCACCTGCACCTTTAGTGTCTTTTTGCAGAGTGGGACCAAGAGGAAACTTTTAGTTTTGTGCACCGAAAAATCTGCTTTTTTTGCCTGCTGGCCAGATTCGTTGTTTTTGCTTAGAAACTGTACTTTTAATTGTAAAAATTGCTTTTTTATTTGTTTTAACTGTATTTGGTGTTTTGTGTTTTTCTATATCTTTCAACTTTTAATGAAGATATTTTAAGTTTTGATGTATTTTTGCCTTGCCACGAATTGAGAACTGAATTAGTTGGATGAGAAACATATCTAATGAACTTCGAGGAAATAAGTTTAAAGGAACTGCCGGAAAAATATGCGTATATTTTAATATTTCAGACAAGGAAGTCATGTGGTGTACACATCAGATGTTCTTTGTGATTAAAATTATTATAAGTTTTCTCAGTGGTTGTGCCTAAATCGGTGTATTTTTGTTGCCATATGTGAAAACGAGAAATATTTCAGTGTTTCGGAAAAAAATCAAATCTATGTCTATTTTAATATAGATAATATTACGTGATTATTATTTTTTTAATTGCATAAATGAGTATTTGAATTTACATAAAAATGCATTTTTTAAAACTTCCATAAATTTTAGAGTTAGGGAGTCCACGCCGAGTTAATCCAGCTTTGATTTTTATCCTGAGAAGCTAACGTACTATTTTTATAATACAAAAGATAAATGAAAAGATCTAAATCTGGTATATCTGGCAATAACTTTTAATGTTTATTTGTCGCATAAAATGGCTAAGAGGAAAATTAATATTTTTTCGCAGTTTAAAATAAAACTGATATCAGTTTTTAGGCGATGTAAATTTAATACTAAAAGCTACATTAAGCTATCTATAATTGATAGCAGTTTAAGGAAATGTTTACATTTTAACATACTAAAATCCACTTACCAACGGAAGTTTCATATCGCAAAATATCAAATTTTATTTTATTTCTAGGTGTTTGATAATTTTATAACCCTCGTCATAGAAGTTAGTGAATCGTATGGAGTGCATCTCGATAAAAAACAACTGAAAAATCCGGATGGTTGGATTGAGCGAGTACCTCAAGTATGTGAGTTTTCCCAAGGAATAAAGGCAAGTAAAACTCAGTCTTATTTTGATTAATTAATAATTTTTTCTATTTAATAAAACAGCGGAGTTTTATTAATATGAGCTGTTTGCTGTTGTTCTTTATGTTGCTAGTAAAATTGGCTTTTTTTAAAATTATTTTTCACGTCTACTTCCGAAGACAGCGTTAACTGCTACACGACTGATATGCTTATCAATTTTAAAATTTGACTCAGTTCTATACTAATTCTTCTAAATACACTACACTTATTTCATATTTGTTGAGTAGCTAAGAGAAATGTTGCAATTAACTTTCATATTAGTCTTCCAGTTAGCGACAACCTGCATCAGTAGCTTGCAACCAGCAACCAGCACAGGGCACCGCCCACCTGGTGCATATTGCCAGATGCTTCACCGCGGAAGATGAAGGGTTAAATTGGTCGATAGACTTCCTGTAGGAAGTTTATGTACTACTATGTACAGGTTATGTGCCACATACGTAAACCACCATTTTTCTATAAAACATATAAGGTATTTTTTCCCTCCTTTCTGCATACCTTTGTGGTGTAACTGGAAGACAATTAGGGGCGTATTCGAGAGGTCCAGGTTCGAGTCTCGGCGAGGGCGTTGCACATTTGTCACGTCTCTTTCTTGAAAATAACCTAGTAACTCTACAAGTGGCACCCGAACTAAAAGGTGGTGGACAATAAGTCGTCACCTTCAGGGTTTGGCGACTGGGTCTTCTAACCCCAGTCGCCCTTTAAAAGCGGGAGTATATAAGGCATTTTCTCTCTTCTTACAGCATGACTTCTGGTGTAAGGGTAGCACACTCGGTGCGCATTCGAGAAGTGCAGGTTCGAATCTCGGCAAAGACATTGCATATTTTTCACGTTTCTAGCATCAAAACGTTCTAATGGCTCTACAAACGTTTCAAATAATAGAAATATTACTAAAAATATCAGCATATTTGCACTATTTAGATTTAAAGCTTAATACTTGCACTTTTAGATATTAATTAAAGAGTCTTATAACTTAAAAAATATCCTTTTGTACATTTTTTCTACTTTTGTTTTTTAGAAATTATTTTTACATAATTTAGTTATTTAGAAATTACTTTTACGTTATTTTGTTCCCTAAAAATTTCTTCTGATTTCTAAAATATCTTAATTATTGAGTTGGCAGGCTGGTGATTTCTACAGTCATGCACCTGTCTGAGAGATAGCAAGAATTATGGATAAAGGTGATGGTTTTTATTATGAGTTTAAGCGTTAAAATACTCATGTATAAATCAAACATAAAAATTTAAATTCTGTTTGACAGACTAATAGTAAAGGATTAAATTTAAAGCTAATGCTTATCACAGTAAAAACAATGGCCGATAGCTAACTCAAGTCTGCTTGCAGCAAAGATTTTAAGCAGGTTTCACAAACGAGTCAAGTCCACGAAGGGATGCTGAAGATGTTTAACTTAACGATGTTTAACGACACTCGGTGTTTAAAAATACATTTTTGTATTGTAATATTTTATTTCAAAACACCATTTCTGCCTTTAATTTTCCGACACCTAGAACAAAAATTATAAGAGTCAGGGGGTTTATAATTTAATATTTATATTACAGAGTTATTGCATATATTATATATATCAAGATCAGTATAAATAAAGCCATCATTAAAAATAATCGTATTAAATACAGGCAATTATAAAACGTCCGCTTAGAGATCTTCTTGAGAAATTGTACTTAATAACAGACAAAATATCGATGCCATTATAATTTATAACTTTACAAATGAAGTTATACAAATCACGTTAGAAAAAATAATTTCTTATTATGTTTACAGGACGAAATATGCTCTGAATGGTTAAAAAAGTGGACAAACGCTGTGTCGGTACGTATAGTATTATTACATTAAAAGGTATGTTATAATATTCGTATAATCTATATTTTGTAAGAGAAAGTTTCGAAAAATTTTTAATTCGCGATGCTCTGGAGAAGAAGCTGAAATCACGAAAGCAAATTATAATTTTATAAGAAGAGATATTTATTATTTATAAACCATGAATAAAGAATATTTGTAAACTTTTACTTACTGTAACTATTTTCGAAAGTAATTTTAGTTGTGGATTTAAAGAAATTAACTTTTTAATTTGTATTTGCACTAAAAATACCTTTACAAACTCTCTGAGACATGTACGTTAGCTTCTGCAATTGTTGTTTCCATCATAGTTTACCATTCGAAGTAGACTTCTGTAATTATATTCTAATATCTAATTTTTACGAGATATTTTACTAGTCGTCGCTTATTGCAAACGTTCATTCAGATATTAGCCGAATTATTCCTAATGTCAAAATTTTCAGTTACTCAGATGCCAAAATTATCAACTATTCAAATAATGACCTACCATTACTTACTACTTGAAATACCCTAACTATCGGTTATTCAAATGACGAAAGACAGCAAGCCAAAGAAAAGAGTAAACTGATGATAAATAATGTTTGTAACAAATTATTAGAGAAATAAATGTAAATTTAGTCAAAAGACATTTTAGGGGTTTCAATTACACTTTCAACGATTTCCAAGGAAGAAGGTACGTTTAAACCTTCAAAATGCGTTTATATATATATACGTAGAATGTTTCAAGATAATGTTTACAGACTCCTGAGAAATGGTTAGGTTGCTCAAAAAAGAATCGGAATCATCTATCTATACGAGGTCGGGAACGACACTGTCATATGATAGTGGCGCACAGAACACGAGAAATGAAAGAGCAGCAGGTAAATGAACAAAATGCTGTTTCTAATAACAGCAGAGCAATGCAAAGAAGTGTGAATGAAGCGTTTGTCAAAATTTGTGAAATGCAAAGCGGTCATAGAAAGCGTTCAAAGTTGTACTGACAAGCCGTAACACATGACCGATATTTTCGCTGTACGCAATAGCTAACATTTTGGAATATTCCGGATGGCTGCGACAGTTATGGCGATGCTTGCGAGACAACCCATAGTACTGTTCACAGGAATGTCGTATAAAAGAATCCTTAAGAGACCTCAGAAAAAGTAATCAAGTCAAATTAAGCAATTGTGCATGTTAATGAATGGGATTATAGCATCCGATACACTTTTAAATCCTAACGAACATCATCGATGAAATAGACAGGGACCTTAATGCACTAGAACAACAATTCACGGCTAGCGATTGCTGGATTTATTGTTTAGTTAATAGTTCTGGCAAGATTTCCTCCAGAAATATCTTGTAAATGTGTCCGTCTGGATGTGCAGGCGTAAAGTATGGGTCTATTAAAACAATCCTCTACCATTCCAGATCAAACGTTAATGGAACAAACGTTACAGCAGAACGCTGTTGTGCTGCTCATGTTTGTGTGGCATGGTGGTTCTCCACTTTCAATATGTGTTCGTTTTGCGTAATGAAGTTACCTGACGAACATCATCGATCATCTTTCCGTCGAAGTCATTTGTCAACAACACAAAAGCAGGGATTAGGGGTTCCACCCCACCCTGCTGAAAATACCATTATGAAAATTTATCTCGCTGAAATTAACCACCAAACTGTAAGAATTGGATGCGCTAATACGTGTGGACAATCTCTGGATCTCGTTCAGGATCATCCACATGCTAGAATGGAAATGACCACTCTAATAAGAGATTGATCCACTACTGCTGCTTGGGGTGTCTTCTCATGTTATGGATCTGTACTGAACATTTGCGATTCATGGCAGGTCTCTGGAAGAAACAAGTATCATATAATCGCCAATGTAGCCACACAAAGGTCTGGTATCTAATATCAGAACAAGCCCACGAAATTCATTGTGGCAAAGAGGCAAGATTGCGCTTGTCGTGGCCTTGGGAACCATTACAGGTGACAGTATGGCTTTGGTTAGTTCCGTTCCTAGTTTTGAGAGAGAGCATCCTGAGAATACGAGTCCAAGGGTCCGCAGTTCCGTACAAGATATACATCAGCTGATTCTGCATTCATATAATTGGCCATTTTATTCTTTTTGCGAGCGATTTGCTAATAACGCTTTTCCTTGACGACCAGTTACCCATACAATGCCATCTATTGTGTGAAGATGATGCTTGTGATCCTGCATAGCTCTATGATTGCAGTTTGTCTTTGAACAACTTACCTCTTCCCGAAGTTTGTATACGTTATACTGAAACACCTTACATATGTATGGAGTTTACATTTATTTAATTTCTCAATAATTTGTTGCAAGCATTGATCTTTTGGCAGTTTACTGAATCTCGCTGCAGCTACAGAAAATTCCATAGACAGTACTGGTGAAAGTATCTCTACAAATAAAATTTTCTTCTGTCAGATGGATACTGTCTATGTTTAGTCGAAACTGTTAATGTTTTTATTTTAATGCTTCTGAACCTATGCATGTATTTTAAATTGCAATTTTAAACGATTTTATACGATTCTTCAATATTTTAAACTTGCCAGATCACCTCATAAGAAACGTAAAGGCTGTCAGCTGATTTGTCCCGTCTCTCTTCTAATTAACAGTATCACAACTCCAAGTGAAGGTTTAAAATAAAACTATTTATTAACACGTTAACCTGATAGTTAACAAATTAAAATATGCATCAGATATATTTTCTGCCGTTTGTGGGTAATTTATGACAAACGTTCTAATTAAACCTAAATTTGAAATGTAGTTAAACAGTTTATATTAAACCTTAGTTCAGTCATAAGTGCTTATGAATTAAAAGTGACTAGCCGAGCCTTAAGACGATAGATTAAATGCAACGAAGAAGGAATAGAGGAAGAATAGATGAAGTGAAGCATAATGACGACCAGCTTATACTGTTAAAAGTTTTTCTCTAAACTCGAGAAATCTGCATTCAAAGTAAAAGCGAAAGCGTAAGCAAAATAATTAGATGATTGTTGTTCCGGTGCACCGGAACAGAACAACTCAACCTGACTCTTTCGCTTTTGGAACTATGCCAAAGAACATTTTTATTCAGTTGAAGAGTCAGACTCAGACGAACGCAAGGCAGCTGGAATGCTGTCTATTCTTCACTATTTTTGTTCTGTCTCGTATTTTAAGTTTTATATGTCCTTTTCTTGTTTATACTTGTATTGTGCAATTGTTTAATAATAGTTTTGTGTTTAAAACGAGGATGTGTATCGAGTTCATTAACTTTACATCGCAACAATTGTGTTAAAAAATTAATACAAAACCTCATAACTTCAGAAATATAAATTTAGTTTTACGGCAATGATTTTGATAAAAAATATTTGATAAGTTGCCGTTAAGTTATTAATTTTAAAAAATAGATTATCACAATGAAATGAAAGTACTCGAGAAGATGGAATGTAACTATGTCATGCTTTGTTTTCAGAAAGTATGTGCTGAGAAACCCGAACACTGCGACGGTATGTGTAGACCTGGTGTAAGTAAATTTTCCTTATTTAATTCATAAAAAAATTTATAACTCTTATCTGAAAAATTTGCCTCCACCTATACTCAGAAACTAAATCGAATTAAGCAAATTTCACTCACTTTCGTATTTTTTAAATCTTAGTCCGAGATTAATTAAAAACTGTTTCTATGCAAACATGAAAATGAATGCTTTAAGTTATATCACTTCAGAATTTACTCTAAATACAAATAGCCCAGGTTACTTTATAAATTAGTGTCTAACCACAGAAAACACCCTTTATTCTGTAAAATGTTATTCTAAAAGTGTTAAATTTTTTATAATGTGTTTATGTAGTTATAATTTGTTTTAATCTCATGATTTAACGCTTTCTTTTTTTATTATTTTGTTTATACTAATTTTTTTCTTAATGGTAAAGTTGCTAAACATTAGTTGTCTGATCCCAGGCTAGAATCCTTCGAATGAGCTGGCTGCATGGACGTTTTCCCATATGTAACCTGCATACAAGCCAGTCCCCCTTGTACCTAATATTGCGTATAGCTGATAATTGGTCAGCTAATAATGTTTCTTATTATAGGCACTAGAGCATTTGAACTGGAAATACTTCTTACATTGGAAAGAGATGAATTTTGTTTTTTTCCTTTCAAGAGAAAACAACAATAATAACAACAACAAACAAAAAAAAAAAAAAAAAAAAAAAAAAAAAAAAAAAACTTGTTTCAAGTGCTAAGAAAGGGCCTAACAAAACAATCAAAACTTCAAATTACGTTTAAATTTACAATGTAATCGCATGTTATGTAATTTATAGATTTATCTTTTTATCTATCCAAGTTGTTTCCATTTACTCTGTATTTTTTATTCATTTAATTAACTCTTTTCACATGTATGTAAGTTTCGTCTTCCTTTTTTGTATATTTGTACAAAACCCTTTTTTGTACACAAGATATATTTTTAAAATTTTTCGATTTATTGTGAAGAAGTTGAAAATATGTATATCTTCATTGTCTGATTTATCATTTGAGTTGAAGAGATATGAAGGACAGAATAAACTCTTTCTAAGATGGTCACCGATATTTTCAAATGATTAGGTTTCCCATGGAGAAGACTGTTGGCCCAGAGCAAATGCGGCCGCACCGAACGAAACAAATTTTAAAGAACAAAGTTCAAAGGTTTTTGCACCGGGAGACAGAAAGCCTAGCGCATGCCATGTTTTAAGCACCGATATTTCAACAATATTAAGAAGGACTGGTCATTTTAAAGAAGAACTCACGCACTAAGATTAACTATAATTTTATTGCGCTATTTATTACTGTATTATTCTTTGTAAGTTTTCCTCTTTGTGGTAGAAATCTATAACCTCCGACGCTGATTAAATAAGCAGAGGATAAAAATATTGTTAATATAATGCTTTCTAGGAAAGTAAGATGCCTTAAATTATTAATTTATGAAGCTAGTGTGTAAAAGGATCTTGAAGTTCTTGGATTAAGTAACAGACTATAAGGAAGGAAATCGAAAATATTATTTTTGACATGCGTAATCATTTACAAGAACGCAGCTCGATAACCTTTCTGGTAGTTATTTGTAAAAATCGGCCACTGATTTTAACTGATTTGATCTCAACAATAGGATACCGTTCCGGGGACGATAATACCAGGATTCTTGTCTTAGATCTTTACATCACCTTTTAATCTAAAAGAAAGCAACTTAGGGATTACTGGATTTCTGTCGATGTATTTTAAGTGTCTATCCTATGGGAAAACCTTTCGAGCAGCACAGAAAACACCTATATAATAACTCTTGGCTGCTATTTATCAATATGTAAGATGAATCACATGTAAAATATTATATGATTCTATTCTTTATTTATTCTCACCGAAAGAATAGCTCTTCACTTAGAGCAATAAATAAACAATAAAAATATAAAAGTAATTGCAACATTTTAAAAATAAGCTTTTGTTGAAAACTCTTTCTAAAACAATTAGCCCACCAGCGGCCGAGCGGTAAAGTCGCTGAACACTGGTAGTTCGGTCCGAGGTTCGAATCCCGCGAATGGGCCGGCTGCATGAGCGTTTTCGTGGTTTTCCCCATGTGTAACGTGTATACGAACCAGTTCCCTTAGAAAGTCCTCCACGAAGGCATCCCTCCCCTTAGGCAGATAGCCCTAATGTGCTTTGCCATAATTAAATACTCCAACTCCTAAAACAATTAATGAACTAAAATTAGAAAAATAAATTACCATATAGTTTAATGCAGTGATTCTCAAACTTTTTTTTTTTTTTTTGGTCGCGGCACATTTTTACCGATTTTAAAATTTCGCTACACACAAAGAAATAGATAAGTTTAAAAGTTGCTTACTCACCTACAATACACTATGTAAAATAGTTTATGATAATAATTTTGAATGTAAAATAAAATAATAATGTACTACAAAACAGGCAGTACGTTTATTAAGGGATTAATTAAAGTTAATAATAAGAATACTTTTAATGAGAAATGTGAACTTGATGTTTTTTGATGATTTCTTTTATAGTTGGTCGTAAAAATGACAATGCTACTCTCATATCGTCTTCTACATTTAACAGTCTCTTTCTTTTTTCGTGTTTATCTTGGTTAATATTGAAAATCCGAATTCACGCAAGTAAGATGTAGAAAAGTGTAAAAATATTTTTAAAGCTTTTTTGCCCATCATGGGATAATCGCATTTAATGTTAATCCGAAATGAATTAATTGATTCTTCTGAATATTTTAAAATTAAATCTCGATTATTAGAGAGCGAAATTAGTTCTTCCTCTTCGTTCAAAGTTAATTCAAATATAGAAGTATCCAGCACCAAAATCGGCTTGGATACCAAAATTGGCACGTTTATTAATGTCTTAAAAACCGAACTTCGCCAATTCTCATGTGTACCGTATTAAACCCATTATTCTTATTCTCATATGTACCAGATTAAGCGCATTATAATTTTTATTATATACATTTCTAAAATTTGGCGGCACACTTTAAGAATTTAGCGGCACGTAAAAGTGCCGCGGCTCAGTGGTTGAGAATCACTGGTTTAATGGAAGCATGAGATTAATAATTCTCTTCACAAAATACATCTGTAACATTATATCTCGAACAATAAAAGTGTGGGCGCCCTTTATTAATTTATAATGATAGTTTCTTACAATGTAATTTAATTAATAGATATCATTATTTAGGCTATAAGGTATTTCTCCCGCTTTCCTAGCGTGCTTTAGTGGTGTAGTGGTCAGCACACTGAGCCGGTATTCAGAGGTCCGTGGTTCGATTCCCGGCGAAAACGTTAGTAATTTTTCAATCTCTCTTGTTTCCAAGTAATCCTAATGTCTCTAAAGTGGCGCCCGAACTAAATTAGTGTTGCATGATGATTCTCCTCACCCAGGATTTGGCGATTGGGTCCCCTAAAAACCCCAGTCGCCTTTTAAAAGGGGAAGTATATAAGGTATTTCTCCCTCCTTCCTAGACGGCCGAGCGGTAAAGTCGCTGAACACTGGTAGTTCGGTCCGAGGTTCGAATCCCGCGAACGGGCTGGCTGCATGGGTGTTTTCGTGGTTTTCCCCATATGTAACGTGTATACGAGCTTGTTCCCTTAGAAAGACCTCCACGAAGGCATCCCTCCCCTTAGGCAGATAGCCCTAGTGTGCTTTGCCATAATTAAATACACCACACCACCCTCCTTCCTAGCGTGCCTTCCTGGTGTAGTGATTCTGCACTCTGGGACAAGGTCCGAGGTTCGATTCCCGGATAAGGCGATTGCTAACTTTTCATCTTGCCTGCTTCCAAAAATCCTACAAGGATGTCTCTACGAGGCACTCCGGCTTATTGCTCGTGATATAAAATTGCAGACGAATTTTCTAAAGCTAGTTATTTAATGTCTTATTCTCATTAAACTATATGAGGAATTATCTTTCTCCTATAAGTTCATTAATAAGAGAATTATTTAATCTCGTGTTGCCACTATGCTGCGTGATAAATAATTTTTATCTTTTTTAGTTTATTAATTGTTTTGTGACTTAAAAATAAAACCTAATTTCACAAAAACATTATTTTATTTTTAAAATCGTTTTACTCTTGATGCCAGGTTATTATTCAAAGTGTTTTATTTAAAAAAATCATTTTTCAGTGACGAATAATCACTTTTTTAGTTACAAGGATTATGTCACAACAAATGGTCAGAGGTTACTAAAATTTCATACAAATTTCATCATGTGTGTTCAAAATTTTAACTCGATGGGTTATCAAGAAGAGTTTAAAAATGAACGAATGAGCTAATAAATGAGCTAATATACACCACGAATGAGCTTAATAAAGGCATTTGTGATAAAAATAATACCCGTAGTAAATATTACAGGAAGAATGGTAATAGTTCGAATTTTATAACAGACACGATTTTTTTTTACTCCTTGTTTAAAAATTTCTAAAGTAGTATATAAACTGTCTACAACGTTTAGACTACTTTAGTAAATTTGTCATTCCATTCTAAGAAATTTTCTTATTCGAAGCAGCCATCTAGTATCAATGTTGAAGGAAAAAATTACAATAATATATAATCACTACATGAATGCTTTGTATACATGTGGCAGTTATTCTGCTTGTTTACATTTTAATGTTTACTCTTATTTTTGCAGGAAAAATCCTACGAAATCGCAACTAAACATTTTAAGACAGGAGACTGTAAGACTCTAGGTGGAAACCCTTTCTAGTGTGAGAGAAGTTGAAGAAGTAGAATAGTTTTCTAATATTTTCTAGGCAAAGAAGAAATAATGTTGCAACTGATGCTATAATTCTTACAATGGTCACCTTTATCCGGTCAAATGATTTATTGCTCCTTGATGTATATTTCCTTGTTATCTGAAATATTTTGTTTTCATAATTTCTTTAATGATTGAACTGTAATCTGAATGCAACGATGTGAAAACAAAGAATAAAATAAAAACAAAAAAATATCTGAAAGCTTTCAGATTTTGTATTACCCCCAAAGAGGCGTTCTTTTAACGTTTTGCGTGTTATCTTTGTTTATTAAATATCTTTTCTTCGTACTTAAAGCATAAAATTCAATTCAACAGAAACATTACAAAATATATAAAAGAGCACATCTTTAGAATCTCCAATACACAAACTCGTGCGCTGAAGATAAAAATGCTTCTTTTTTCGTACAGTGTTGCCATTGCTAGCTTTGAAATCGTTGTAGGAACTCATAAATGCTTTACAAATACGAAATAGATAATAAAACAAATTTCAAATTTAGGCTTCCAGATGCCCATATTCGAGTGTAAATTATATTTTCATATTGAAAAATACCACTAGGCGCATCCTAATAGAGAAGACGCATTGCAGTTTCACTTACAATTTATTTCAGAATCATAATATGTTCCAAAAAAGCAGCATGTAACGTCTTGTGTTACACAGTTGTGCCGAGAATGAGGTTGGAACCAAAACCTTTTCCAGTATAGTCAGTGGTTTCTTTCAATCAATAATTGCGTATTTCGCAAGAATAATACGATATTACCGTTTTATTCTGCTAAGTTTGGTATTTATTTGAAAAATTATTATGAGGAAGGTAATTGTACACTCTTAGACAAAAAAAAAAAAAAAAAAAAAAAAAAACGACGCACCGAGAAGATATAAAGCAAATTGGACACAAATTGATATGCATACAGCTTTCGACGGAAAATGCAAAGTTTTACATTTTGGCTGCCAATGAATGAACGGTTGCTGCTACAGCGCATCTGGTCTGCGCAACTAGCAGGATATTTAAGATGAGAAATTATAATTCCAGGTCATAAATTCTTCACGAATTTCATTCCGTGTACTCTGGTAGACAACGCTGATGGAACGAGACGGCTCCCGATCTAATGCGACCTAATAGGCGCCAAACGGGATTAAGTGCTGACCCGCGCTTGATCAGTCGACAATGTTGCGACCCCACAGAGCAAGGGCAGACAAGGCAGTACCACAGAGGCGTAGCTAGAGTTTCCAGCGCCCGGCGACAACTGAAGAATTTGCACCCCTTTCTGTGTGCCAAGAATGAAAAACATTTCATTAAAAAATTTCGTAGCATCAATTTGACGTCCCTTGGATGCTGCGCTCGGGGACGGATGTCCCCCCTTGCCAATTCTCATGTCCCCCCTTGCCCCACCCCAGCCACGCCACTGCAGTACCAGTACGGTCCTTGCCGAGCCTTACTCTGTCCTGAGAGCCATCAGGCTTTCTGTTATTATGCCCCCGTGGTTGAGACTGCCTAGGTACAGATCCTAACTAGTACTTCCCAGGCATTCGCCTGAATCAACCCTCCGGGGGGACTCTGGTAGATAGTAACTATGCCTCGCATACAGGTGCGCGAACGATATACGCAGATGTCAGAATTTGAGAGAGGACGTGTAGTTAGGCTCAAAGAACCGGTTGGTCTTATCGGCGAATAGCTCGACATTTGAGCAGGAGAGATGCCACTGTTAGACGATGTTGGCAGGAATGGGTGAAACATGGCCGCACACAGCGTCAAGAAGGAAGCGGTAGGCCTAGAGAAACGACACAATGTGAAGACCGAGCAATCGTCAGAGTGGCACTCACAGCCCCAGATGCATCATTATCATCGATTGTACGTGCAACTAGTGCTTCAGTGACCGCAAGGATCATTCATAGACGGCTCACAGAAAGGGAGATAAGGTCACGGGCGCCCCTTGCGCCGACTACCGTTGACCTCTGTACAACGTCAAGTCCGTTTGAAGTGGTGTCGAGCTCATTCGCACTGGAATGTCACTGACTGGAGTAGAATAGTCTTCAGTGATGAGTCCCGCTTTGAACTGAGCCCCAATGACCAGCGAAGGCGAGTCTGGAGACGCCCCGGACAGCGGTGTGATACCAACCTGACTGTCTTCCGGCAGACAGGCCGACAACCAGGATTGATGAACTGGGGTGCCATTTCATTTCATAGTAGGACCCCTTTGGTTGTCGTCCGTCGCAACCTTACAGCACAGCGGTAAGTCGACGAAGTTCTAAGGTCCGTTGTGTTGCCCTTCTTGTCACGCCACCCTGGGCTTACATTTCAGCATAATAATGCCCGCTCCACACTGAACATGTTTCTACTGCTTGAGGAACATTACCTTGGCCAGCAAGGTCGCCGGATCTCTCTCCTATTGAGCACGTTTTGAGCATTATGGGCAGGAAACTCCAACCAGCTCGGGATGTTGACGATCTAACGCGCCAGTTGGACAGAATTTGGCACGATATCCCTCAGAAGGACATCCGCAACCTCTATCAATCGATGCCAAGCCGAATAACTGCTTGCATAAGGGCCAGAGCTGGACAAACGAGTTACTGACTTTTTCACTTTGTGAATCCTGTCACTTCAATAAATCATCCAATTTTTCTCAAACTGTAATCATTTGTTTTTCTGTACATGTACATCACTTCTACCGATTTTCGTCCCATTCGGATAACTCCTTCTTGGTGCGTCGTTTTTTTTTTTTTTTTTTTTTTTTTTTTTTTTTTTTTTTTTTAGTGTATTTATAGTTTAGGTTGGTAATGAACGTAATGATGCAAAAAAATAACAAAGCGGGGATCTACTTATCTTAAAAAAAATCATCTTCCTAGCCAAGAAACATTATTACATGTAATATGTAGTAACATGTACTACCTGTAAACTTAGTCATTGGATTCAAATCAAATTTTGAAATTCAAATATAGATCATTTGGAGATGATTAAACTTATTTTTAAATATTCCGCACCTGTCTGTACTGCGGGGTCTAAACTACCAGAAAATAGTTGCAGAGAATTCTAGAAAGAAATGTTTTTGGGTGGTACATATTCATTTTATTACTTCATTTAAAATCTGGATATCGACAGGGAAATTCCAAAAGTTGTATAAAAGCGCTTTTTGAGATTTTAAAGTGTCTGCCACAGTCACAGCTGCCAATTAATTAAGAATCTTGGAGATTATAGCTTTCCCATTAAACAGAAATATAAAAAGCCATGAAATACTTTCACATATAGTAAATTCTTACCGAATGCAATGAGTTAAGTTATTAATAGCGCCAGAATCGCTTTTAGCTAAGTTTCTATGGAAAAAAAATCTGTTAAGTAAAAAATTTAGATAAAGAAAATGTGCATAATTTAAGCAAACCTAAATAGTCTGGTAATTAAAGAGGAAACATGAAATGTTAATTGAAAGGATTTTATTATTACTTAAAAAGTACATGACACAATTAATTTTTTAAAAAGCCGATCTTTGTTTGCTTGATACAAGGACTGACGCAAAAGGTTTTCAATGCCTCTCAAAAAAGTTCTCTTCTCTCTTTATTTAAGTCAATTTCCACAGGAGCTTTATCTTGTTCTTCATTATCACTGCTTTCAATGCAGGCTGTCATCATCCAGTTCTTCGTTTGTGGTTTCTCGATTAATCCTTTTTCTTCTTCCATATCTGAAAATCCTTCGCCACCATCTGCTATTACAATTTGTACGATTTCTTTGGCTTCATTTTCAGTGGATGGAAATCCTTTCCAGATGTTGATATATTCTAGCCAGAGCTGATGCCAACATTTAGTGCTGATGAATGATCGCTGAACCGCTTATGAATGAAATTCTATCCTTGGACAAATTAAACTGAAGCAATTCAAATAACACATACATGTGAAATAGCGTTTCGCAAATCAGTGATCACCAAGGATTTACGTTTACTATGTTCATTGGCTCATCGGAACTGAGCATAAAATTGTTGAAATGTTTCGACTGCGCTTTCGTGTATTTTATCGTATGTAATGAGAATACGAGCCAGTTTTCTTTAAGCAGTTTTCCACGAAAGCATCCCTTCTTTTAATTAGATAACCTTTATGGCCTTTTCTGAAATTCAAACAACTGTGGAGCTATGTAAATTTAACCTTACAAAAAATATCAAATTCTAATTAAAATTTTCTTTTTTACAAAAACAGAAAATAAAAATAATTTTCAAAGGGGAAAAAATTAAATAAAAATAATCTTAAAAATTAACAAAAAAATTAATATAATAAAATATCACGGAAATTTAGATATAACAGCTAATGAATTTCATTACAAGGCGCAATTTATGGCAGAAGCTACCACACATAATTTTCTTCTTTATACACATCAATTCATTTTCTGGGTGGTTCTAAGGCTGAAACGGATTTTTCAAAATGCTCTCTAGATAAGGTTTAGGATCAAATTCTCGTAACAATTTTCCGTTTAAGAAAATTATCATTAAATCCAAAATATGTTATATAGTCAAAGGAGATTTTTTCGCCTCTTAAGTCCCCTCACTCACATGCGGAAACCTTTCCCTTTAGAAGGGCAATAAATTTGGGGGAGTTTGTTTAGAAACGCGTAAATTTCTCGCCATGCCATCGTATCTAATGCATTGTTATCGATGCTTACAGTTAGTTATCCTCGCAGGAAGGAAAATTTGTGTTCTTAAATGTGCGTTAGGTGGCAGCGAGTACAATAAGAGTGAAATACTGAGATAAACTGCTCAAGCACGTCCTATACATAGTCTTCCCACAGTATCCACTAATGGGAGGAAAGGGTAACCAGCAACTTTACATTCATCCTTAGGAGTCAGATTTAGGACTCATTTTACCCCTGACACACATCTGCTTGATGGCTATAATTATATCAGCAGAGAGCCACGGTCAAATAGAACGTTCTCTCTCACCTAGATTCCCCTCATTTTTTGTTTCCACCCACTCATTCCCCCATTCTGTTTCACCCTGGAATTTTCATCAGCTATACTTTAAGTATATTTCAATTTTGTGATGATAAAAGAACTCCCCTCCTACGATCAGAGCTTAAATTGGTCCAGTGTTTCTTAGTTTTTATAATAAATCATAATTCTAACCGGAGCGCTGAATAAGAAGGCTGCGGCACTTCTTTTATGTAATTGAATAACAAATCTCAAAAATTTTATTTTAACAATAAAATTATGTTAAAAATAGCTTATTAAATTTCAATTTATCTTTTTACATTTTACTTAATTTTAATTATTTTATTACTTCAATC